AAAAAAAAAAAACCAAGACTTTTTAGAGCAAGGCACAGTGATGTGCGCATATAATCCCAGTGACTCTGGAGGCTGAGGCAGGAGAATTCTGAATTCAAAACCAGCCTCAGCAACTTAGTAAGGCCCTAAGCAATTTAGGGAAAACCTATTTCAAAAAAAAAAAAAAAAAAAGGCTGAAGATGTGGCTCAGTGGTTAAGGGCCCCTGAGTTCAATCCCCCTTACCAAACAAACAAACAACAACAACAGACATTTTAAGAAGGTATGAAAAAGAAAAACATAAAGATTAATCACACTGAAGATAATTGTTAGTACTAGAAATTTATTTTGGTCAATCTTTTTCACTTGTACAAGTATGTGTATCTATCTGTCTATAGATACACATATAATAAATTTGTGCAGGTATGTGTGTCTGTATAAGTTTGGGCTACATATCTAATTATATTCTGTTTTTCACCAAGCATGTCAATAAATAGTCTGTGTAAACATTTTTAACTGTGGCATTAAATGCAGGATTTGCATTCTCATTTGATTTTGTTCATTTAACATATTACTAAATTTTGGCAGTATAAATATTCGATGTTTAAATGTTTCTTTAAAAACATTCCAATAAAGGGAATTAGTCAGAATATAATCTTTTGTGGCTCTTATTATACTAGTATTAAATTTCACACCAGAGAATTTATAATAAATTACCCTCTCACCTGCTGTTTACAGATGTTTCTCTCAATGGAATTTTGTCAGTTATGACTCCTATTATTTTTATAACTGATAGTGAAAAGTTGTGCTTTGAGTAATTGTCTTAGTTTGGGTTATTTTTATTACTTTGGGATCTTGAGGCTAAAGATTTTTTTTTTTCATGTTTAGACTGATGAGGTCTTTACCCATTTTTTTTTTTCATGGAGGTATTTCTACAAACTGTTGTGCACCCCGTTTATCTGCATCATTGAATAACCTCATCAAACACAGATCTCCAAATTAAAAATTAACAAACAAGAAAACCGTCTCTCTTTACTTGGGAAAGACAATGCCAGTCCAAAAGGTTGGGCTTCTCCTGAGGAAGATCATTATARTTTCTCTTAGTCCCTTTGATGTCCACATTAAACACTTTGTTCCAGTTGCCCTTGGGATTAGCTTCCTGTGGCCTTAAAATGGAAAATATCTGAGGACAGATGCATGACCTTCCTTGAATAGTCTCTTGAAAAGTATGTATATATGTAAGACTATATGTGAGTTTACATTATCAGTGGGTAACTGGATTCAGTAACTTGCAAACTGACTAAATCACTTTGATTTAATGAAATGTTATGATAAAAACTAGTTTGAAACATATCAAGTATGGAACACTTTATAACCAAATTTTACAGAGTACCTCTGTGAAGCGTCCCTAATCCCCACACTCAGGCATAAATTGAGTTTTCCTTTGAAACCCTTTAGCGCCTTTCATGTGCAAATGGTCGCATTATCTTGCATTGTAGTCACAGCKGAGGCCTCTTGTTGCCCCTAACTGATTGTGGATTCTTACAAGACAGAATACCTCTGGCTTTCCTCTCTCCACCTAGAGCAGAGCATTAAAGGGCAGTTTCTCAATATATCTCCAATGAATGGGCACAACAATTTCCCTACAACTGCATTTAAGGATTTAATCTGCACTACTCCTTGACTCCTATATAGCTAGATAGGCATTAGCTTCATACAGTCCTCAATTTTAGCCTAATCCTGGTAGGCAGGAAAGGGTCTGGACCCTTTGTGGCCACTTCATAGAAAAAGGAACCAGTATTGTGGCTCAGTGGTAGCGTGCTTGCTTAGCACATATGAGGTGCTGGGTTTGATCCTCAGCACCACATAAAAAATAAATAAATAAAATAAAGGTATTGTGTCCACCTATAAGTAAAAAATATATTTAAAAATCAAAGAAAGAAAGGGGAACGAGGTGGAGCCTTGTCCAAGGTCATAATAAATCAGATTTCTAAATCTTGATCTGTCTCCCTGAGGTCTCTTAGCTATTTATCAGGCACACATGTTGGTGAGATTTGGGGGAAGGTCAGCAGAGATTTCAAAAGAGAAACTGAGACATCCATTCTGTTCACCTCTCAGTGTGAAATCTAAGCTTTGTCAGCAAACTGAATTAAGATGAGCTGTGTTTTTTAGGTTTATCACTTTAGTTTTCTTTAAACAAAACAAAACAAAACTACTGCTTCAAAAACGTGTGTTTCTTATCAAGTTTTYGATGTTGTACATATTAAGCCATGATGAGGGAGGGAGAATACAGGGGGGAAACAATAACAAGCCATAACATTTTTAAAAAGAAAAACAAAGTCCTTGAGCTCAGAGCTCAGGCTTCACCCCTCTAATGCAGGRGTGAAGTGGTGGCGGGGAGGCCACCATTGCAATCTCTGTGCTTCTAAATCACTGCTTTACTGCAGGGTGTCTCAGCTTCAGAGTTTTTATTAAGTCTGTTACATGAAGTCCACTTGGAAACCAAAGACAAAATAAATAAATAAATAAATAAACATTCTGTTCCCAAGTAGAAACATAAAAAGTAAGAAAATACTTTCTTATCTTCCACCCTGAAGGGCTCATTCTGAACTCTGGATTGCAGTTTTAGTGAACAAAGCTGAAACGATTTCATCTTTATCCAACAAAAATGAAGGTAACATTTCCATATACACCCAAGCTCCATGAATCTTACAAAGTACTGGAGGCAAAACATTGAGGAATCATATTTTGATTCTCCTCAAGGTCATGAACAATGCAGTGTTTTTTTGCCTCCCAGTGTGGCAAGGTTAAAAGATGTGACATTTTCACATGACTATGAGGGGATTTTTTCCCCCCTTCCTTCCGGTGGGATTACTTCATGGAAGGAAAGCCCTGCCTCCTAGCTGTTCAGTGATCTTAAATAACACGTTGTGAATGGATCAGAGGGTGGGGGGCAAAGGCGGTGGGTTTGGGGAACACTGATGAATGACAATTAGTTTCTTTTTGCCTTTGGCGGGGAAGGAATGATTCACTGAAATAAATATCCACTAAATGCTTGAAAACACTGACATATAATGTCAAATAAATTAATGAATTAATTAGTGTAGAACAACACCTCCAGGAGAGGGGAAAAAACCCCATACCCCCGGTTTTATGTCCTTTTAACATTTACACTTAATTAAATCAGGGTTTTTTTGTGTGTATATTCACACAGATGGCTAACGTCAACCTTCACAATTCATTCCCGCGTAAATTTACCACACAAAATGTAACAGTCATTTTTCAAAGTACACAAATACAGGTTACCATGGAAACCTGTTGGTGTCTTGCTGCTCTTGATTCTGTTTTCAGAGCAGAATGTTAACCACAGGACATTCCAGCTGTGACTCATTGCGAGACTACTGGCAAGTTTGCCAGCTTGGAMCTAGTAAAAGCCTGGTTTCTTCTACTTGTAGAGAGCCAGAAATCTACACTGAGTGAAAAATACTTGAATTTCTAGCTAAGTTCATTTAAAGGAAACTAGAAGAAACTAAGAAGGGAACAACTGAGATTCTTACTTTGAATATGCAGATCTAATCTGTATAATGATATTTAGAGATATATTTTTTTAAATACAGAAATGATAATTACATTTTCAAGTTGGCCATTAAAGCCATTAAATATATCTACCAAGGTGGAGATTGTACACTATRAAATCTGTGTAGAATCTTTCTCGTTTTTCTCTTAAGGAGACTGACTACTCAAAATTTTTGTGGCTTAGATTCCTCCTTACCCCAATCCAGGCCCCCAATATCTTAACCACTCTTAGAACACACAAAGAGGAAGGAAATCTCTTGCCTAAGCCACACTTACCAATGTCTACCCACTTCCTTGGCAGGGAGTTGATAATTTG